CCCTAAAGAATTCTCAAGGCACAAACTGCTTGGGGTTGACGAAATGCCTGTATATACCCCTATATGACCTACATACCCCTACGCGCCCCTGTACACTCCTGTATACCTCTAGGTGCAGTATGATTATAATGTGTGGTCCCTTTTATGCGTTCGCAGTACCCCCTCCCCTCCCGCCAATGGTATGGTCCTCATCTGAAGATGAGCCACATCAATAACCCCCAATAAACCAAAAAACAATCCGCAAGATCTCTCTAAACAATCTTTCAAACCCGCTACAAACACTCACCGCTTATCACAGGGCTACAGGACCAAGGGCGGGGGAGGGGACCTTTATAAGCCTCGAATACAACTCGGTGAAACTTTTTATGAAAGCTATGAACCCTGTTAAAACCCTAAACCTTCTATAAAACTCAAAAAACCTTTTGAGCCCTCTTGAAACCATCGATGGGCCCCGCAAAAAATTGCATAGAACCCGGATAAGCCCTCCAGGAACCCCTGAGAAAACCTTCCGAGCCCTTTCAAAACCTGCTGTATAATCCTGTGTAACCTTCTTTCAACCTTCCAGAACCTCTGTAGATAAGATAAAGCCTCCAAAAACCTGATCAAAACCTCTAATCTAAAACACCGGGTTGAGGGTTTAGAGTGGCTTCATCATACTTTATATCATGAACCATTGGTGGGGGAAAATGCTGGCACATAAGTTGGACCCCCACTGTGTACAAGAAGCCCTGTATCCATTCACCAAGAATCAAAACTGAAATCATACTGTGTATAAGAAATAGCCTTACGCTATTTTGGTGACCATAGCATCTCCAAATAATACACTAACCCTGAACCCCAAATTCTCAGTTACTAACCCCCTGAGGTCGCTTACCTCAGCGTCGGCTTCTTGCCGCCGCTGCCGCTCCCCAGCGGGATCCTGAACGAGTCGGCTTCCATAGGAATTGGAAAAGGGTATATTGGAGGTTTCCAAAAATTAGGGGCACCTTTTTGGGGATCCCCATAATAAGGACTGTAGCATCTTGGGATCTATATTGGGGTCCCCCTAGGGAAACTACCATATGAGATTTCGGAAAAGCAGGTCCTCAGGCGCATATGTCGGGGTATGGAGGGGTATGCTGCATTAGAATCATATCTATGGGTATGATTCTATAGGGGTATACTGGAATTCTATAGGTACTCAAGGAGAATGGACGAAAATTGCCGGCTACGAATTCTTAAGCCCCCTTCGCGTTCCGGGTTCAAAGTCAAGCCCTACAACCTCCTACAACAACCCCAAAATCCTCGTAACATCCTAGACATCATGAAGCGATTTTGCAAACCTCCGTCACCAATTCTGGCCCCTATGCCAAGAACAACCCCCCCCCCCCTCGTACCTGAGCTATAGTCTAAACTCCTAGCATCCCCCCTACTAGCCCCTATAATAGTCCCCTATACAATCCGATATAACCCTATATAATCTATATAACCCCCCTTGAAGGAATTTAGACTGTAGCTTACCTGGCCTCGAGGTATGCCAAGGCATCCAGGTATTCGGGGCTTGTCTCCTGGCCCCAGCGGCTCTGGAAGCAATCTCAAAGCGGTGGATACTAAACATCCTGCATGAACCTTAGTTCTCCAAACCTTGGGAAGTTTGGTACTATAGTATCATAAGGTCATGCAAGGTTTTAGCCTTAGCATCAACAGAAGGACTTCGATCCAAGGGCGAGCGACCAGAAGGGATTGTGTTGAAAGTCAGTTGCTGCAGAATCCCGCCGGGCAGTCCAGTTCTCGTTTCCGAGCCAACAAAGCGGGCTTCTCCTGTGGGCGAGAACCACATCACGCAAAGAGGGGTCAAAGCGTCAGCTTCACGACTTTTGAACTTGATCTTGGCCAGCTTGGGGGAAGTCCTTCTTGGTAGCTGTACGAGTCGCAGCGAGGACCTGCCGACATCAACAATTGCTCACTGCGGCCTAAGATCCTGGCAATTGAACGGCTGTGAAGGTGCTTCATGTTAAGATGTGTCTGGCACAATGGTGCATGACAGATGTGATGCTCCTGCACATGCGCTTGGACCCTCGCCTCCTCGATCTGTACAGAGGTTTCATCCACGATGCGTGCTGCCTGCGACGATTTGCTGTTACATGCTACTATGTAATTTTGGGATATGAGGGAAACCCAATCTACACGAACGACCGGGAAGACATCTTTCAGCGCTTCGTACATGCAAGGATTGCGGTTGCGAAGAACCAAGCACTGGCAAGCACTGCCAGAGCACAGATGGATGGCAGCTGGCAGCACACGCTCAGTGACTTGCACTGGAGGTCGGCGGAAGGAAGAACTTTCCTATCACGGCCTGAATCGCATGAAAGAAATTTGCGGGGTCAACTTCTTTTCAAGAAGATTCCCCAGCACTTGGAGCCAGAGTTCAGACGCATCAACCGCTTTTGGACATAGGTTATAATTGTCAAACGTACCCATGTAAAACACAAAACACGTTGGGACCTGGGTATGTCCAAAATCCAGATGCATGTTGTTCATCTACATTGCAGACTGATGCTGATGATGCTCTGAGCTCGGCGTCGCAAGCTGCCACACCCGTGAGAGCCACAATTGCAGCCCTGAAATGGAATTCACTCCGTACTGCTCCCTAGACTCTGAACCCTAAACCCCACGCGTCTGAGAGCCCTGGGATCCTATTTCCACCTTTTGAGGAGCCCCCAACCCTAAACCCTAAACCCTAAACTGGCTGTACAAACGTCGTATGGGTTGTCACATAAGCTCAGGCGCGCCTTAGCCACCATGAAGCTCAACTTACAAAAGCTCGGTTGCTGTTAAGGAACTTAAATTAAGTTACCATAATGGGTATATATAGTAATTAATATGATTTCCCCAATATAGTAACTTAAATTAAGTTCCTTAACAGCAACCCAGAAAAAGGAACAGCACTAGGAACAGCATTGACCCACAGCTCAGGAAAAGTCAGCTTTGCCACTTGATCCTCTGTCATTCCTATACATGACCCGTATATATATATATATACATATATACCTTTGTAACCCTGTGCATTCCTATATAAGTTCGCCGGGGCACGGTTGAGAGACAAGCTGATGCACCTCGACCATCATGGAAAGCCAGGAAAGAGGGGATTTCAGAAACACTGGCAGGGTTTAGGGCTTGCGGTTTCGGGTTTTGGGATCCGTCGAATACTTGCTCCAGCTGTGGAAGCCCAAACTTATGCTAAACCCTGAACGCTCTTCAAACTCTTCAGGCTCAGTTTCCATTTAACGTGCCACGTCCTTTCCAACTGATACCCGACTGTTCCTATATCACCCCTACCATATACATATATAGATATACACGCACATATATATATATATATACATATGCATATATGTATATATACAAATATATGTATCCCTTAATATCCCTGTGTATGCCTGTATAACCCCCATCTATCCAGTCAGTATCATTTTATGCTTGACTATTAGGCTGCAGCCGGGGGGCGTCTCCAGTACCTCCAGGACCTGGATTCTTGCAACTCTTTAGAAGCCTAAAAAAAGTTGCAACAGTAGCGGATATGTGGGGATATATATAGGTATAACAGACACATGGGGTCTATAGAGTTTAGGGTTTAGGGGCCTAAAGAAGTATCAGGAATGGAGAGGGAGCAAACAAGGATATAAAGGGTTGCATAGGGACCATATTGGGGTACTATAGGCTAGAAAAATATCACGATTGCCCCAATAATAATGGAGAATCAAATGGAGAAGAAAATGAAAATGAAACAAGGGAAACTGATGTTACATGGGCTACTTACAGTCCGAACTCGCAGTATCCCCCTCAGTAACTCCTATAATGCTCCCCTACATGAGCTATAGTAAGAACTCCTAGTATCCCCCTTAGTAACTCCCATAATACTCCACTACATAATCCCCCTCTAAAACCTCTTTAAGGAGTCTAGATTCTAGCTAATATAAGAGTTGGCAGGGATTCGCCTGAACCCGTGGGCGGACGAAGGATGCAGAAGCTGTACAGCCAGAGCAGGAACTATAGGAAGCTTCAGAAATAGAAGCAGACCTACGAGAAAGCGGCATTGTCCTACAAACAACGAATGAGGAGAAGAAGATGATGATTATGAAGAGAAACCAAACAAATGAAGTATGTTACTTTACTACTGCTGCTGCCACAGTTGATAAGGGTACTACTAGCCGTTCCCCCCCTTGCAAGAATGTTGCCCGAAACACTAAGGGCAGTGGGCCAGAATCTGTATAAGCAGCAGAGGTCGTTGTGGAAGTGCCTGAAACTCGCAAAAATGTGAGATGAGAAATCAATAACTGTTGTTTTGCACACTCCCAATGGACCTTAGTTCGCCTCCCCAACCCCTGCCTACCGCCATAACTCCCGCCGCCAACTCCCGCCGCCGCTGACAGCTCGATCACCAAGAACAGCATGACCACGACAAACACCACAACAACAACAAGCAGTAAGGGCGCCGACGATGCCCAGCACCACAACATGGTGACAACAACGACTTGACAACAAGAACGGCAGGGTCCCACCACTAGTTCCCCGCACGCATCCGCACGCTGATCTTCAAATCTGAGCAGAACTCAACAGAAGACCCAAATCATCTTCAAGCGCCACTTGTACACCAGATGTGAGGAAAGGAGTGCCTCTCAGACAAGCCCAAAACACTCCTGCTTGAGAAGTCCGCACGAATTTCATACGCAAAGCTAGTCTTTGACCCCGTACACTCCCTAGGCACTTTCCATAGAAGTCCTAAGGCATAGAATCGCATGGAAAACGTCGCGAAATACTGCAGCTTGGGCCCGAACCTGCATGATTTCAGGCCTGAACCAGGGAATCTTGAAGGTTCAAGTGTGTAGGGTTATGACTTAGGGTTGGGCGTTCAGGGTTTGATCCCCGGAAGCCTGAAGATTTATGGTTTGAGGAAGCTTTAGGGTTTAGGGTTCCAACCCTCAGCCCCTTTTCACTCTCAACTTGAAGAATGCACTATCTCAATTTTTGCTAGTGTAGGAGGTGATCCTCATTTTCCAATACTCTGATGCCGCGCAGAACCCGCAACTCTCAAAAGCCGCCCGAAACCCTCTGCTCACAACCAGCCTGTCCGCAGGGCTCATGCAATAGCAAGAATCTCCGATGGCTTCGATAAGCTGGGAAACTTCCTGGCAAGTGCAGGAGCAGCTGCTATCAACAGTACAGCTTCTGGCGAACCAAGTGGGAGGACTTAATCCACGCCAAGCATCCGTGCCATCCTTACGCCACGTGAGCTGCGGAAGGGTGCCTTTTCTCATCGTCTTGAGGATGCTGGATCGATCCATCCCATCAAACGGTTTGACGTCCTCAGAGCTACGCAACTACCTGATGCTGAAAACAGAAAGCTTTGTTCTGCACACTTCTTCGAAGAACTGATGAGAGCAAGCGGCTGTCAGGGTGAAACCTTAGCGCACAGCTGTGGAAAAGACTGCTCATGCTCCAGGAAACTGGTAAGTACATGTAAGTACTCTGTAAGTACCAGAAGGCTAGTGTTTTCTCTCAACGACAGGCATCTGCTTTGCTGATATGCGGCTGATTAATGCTCCAAGGGAGAAGATGTCGGCTGCGCACGACCTGGGCCGATATTAGTCGTACTTGTCTGCAAAACTAAAAGAAAACACAGAACAGCTGCAGCCACTAACTTTGAGTCGCACTCTTATGCTTACCTTCCCCCTTGCCGCCTCGTCTACCACTCTCCTCCTACTGATTCTCCTATTCGTGGTACCCCCTCCTGCAACTACTCTTATCACTAGCACATGCAGATAATCTGCTACCCGCTTTTTTGCAGTCAAGCGCTAGCGCACTGAGATTCCTGCGGCGAGCGATTCATTCCTTGGCCACGCTTTGGGGTCCAAGCTTTGGGCTCATGGCCTTTGAAACTTTCTCGGCCAGGGTGTGCAAGGCACCAGCACTGCTTGGACACCAACTGTTTTTGCTTCATGGTCATTGTGGGAATATTGACAGTCCTTCAAATGGTAGTAAGAAGGAAACACATTGCAAACGTGGCTGCTAACACCTTCGAACTTTGCAGCTACAGAGAGACATCTTCAAGACAATGCTTTGCTGCTTAGGTTGGCCTGGCTCTCAAAAGACCCAGACCGTGACCCTGAAGAATCTCTTCCGGGCTAGAAAAACCATCCCTGAAAGAGCCCAGCCGAGCGACCGGTTGCAATCTCTGGCGCCATCCACCTCAAGCTGCCTCCCATGGTGTGCTCCGTCTTGTAGAGGAACCTTCCGGTTGAACTGACTGCAGAAACATTGCTTTATGCTGCTGCATTCTTGCATTTGGTTCTGCACGGTAACTTTGCATTCTATAACGCTGGCCTGGCAAGACCGAAATCACCCAGCTTTGCTTTGGGCAGCAGGTTGCCATTCTCCACAAACCTCAGATAGCAGCACAACCTCGGGGTTTAGGGTTAGGGGCTAGGGTCGACTTGCGCACGTCACGTGAAGCCAATGCCCTCGAGGAGCACGTTGGAGCCCTTTAGATCACCATGCACCTTAGCAGTACGAAGTCTCTGGGTTGTTCACGGCCTCTGTGTACATTTAGGCATATGCACGTGCATGTCTTTTTTTATGCGTTGCACATTGAAACATACATTATGTGAGTCGGTAATGATATGCATATGCAAAGTATTCATGTTACACACATAGGCAGACATACACGCATCTAGGCACATGTCCGGCTGTACCTGTATGTGTCAAAACCAGGGTCTCTTACAATCAGCCAATGTCCAAGACAGCCCCGCATCAGCCGCATACACTTACTTCTGTTTACCCTTCTATTCCGAACCCGCCCTACACCCTACACTTGGGCCCTAAGCCCATCACCCCAAACCCCAAATCCTTAAACCCTAAGCCCGCCGCCAGAGTCTTGTCCTGCTGATGCAGGTATCGGAGCGCAAGGGAGATGCCCTGCAGGATGTTCAACTTGCCTGGATCGAGGGCTTCCTACTTGAAGGCTCGGGGATTGAGTAAAGAGGTTAAGTTAATGTGTAGAGTTGAAGGTTTGAGGTTTGGGCTGAGAGTTCAATTTGCTCATAACCTCCCGTGCAATCATCATGTGCTTGCTAAGTCCATTGAGCGTCTAAGTCCTTGTCCAAAAACTTCTGGAATAGCTTCGGTTCAGCCCCCACCAACGAATAGCGTTTCGGTTCGCAGGTTTCGGACTTCGAGATTACAATAGAAATGGAAAGGGGCCACGTAAGCATAAGAAACAGCAGATATTTGGATAGTGATGATGTTGGGATTGCAGGGTGTCCAGTTTGCCTCGATACCGAAGCTTTCCAATCTTTCCAAAGGGGTGTATACGGACTCACTGAAGTATGTTTCAGGACCATAGGGATGGACTGTGAGAGTATAAAGGAGATAATGGAATAAGACCTGCATAACAAGGAGAAGTCTGCCTCCAGAGATACTGGCATCCGCAGTAGTTGTTTTTCATAGCTGCATCTCATCATGGTCACATGGCTGGGAGTCTAGGCCTTATTATGACAGGGGAGTGATTAATGAAGGCTGTAAAGAACTGTAAAGGGCCCCAGAACACGGTAGCAACTCTTCGGAGAAAGGGATGGATGCCTATTGGAATGAGAGACCTCATATCTGAGTAAAAGACACAAACACCTTGGAAACCTGTCATGACACTCAGGGCCGATGGCAAGAATCCTGATCGTCAAAGACTTCAACAAATCCCTTGGCCTTTTGAAGAAGGTTCTTAAGCTGATCTCCCGCATGTACTGAAGCTGCCTCTAAGGTGATACCATCCCTGTGCCATTCCGGTGGATTAGGGGTACCCTTGGGGTCCCTACAGCAAGCGTTTTATAGCATTGCGGTGTTCTGGGGTGTGCAAAAGGAGGACATCCCTAGTCTTAAGATTTAGGGTTTAGGGTATAGGGCACCACGATCTGCTTAGACCATGCGCCTATATCGCAGTCGATCGGATGTGGCTGGGCCTTGATCCAGTCCTGAGCATACAAACAGATGTAGAGCACATACGGCTGATACAAAAAAACCTGCATGACCTTATAGTATCTTATAGTCCCCCTGAAGTAGATAGAATATGGAGTATATGGGGATCTTATTATAATATGCCCCAAGCCATATTCTATCTACTTAAGGGGGACTATAGTCTACTAGAACACCATTCTTGAGGTATCAGGTACTTATGATCATATAGGATGAGGTAGCGACCTGGGAGAGTTGCGGCTGAAGACAGCAAAGCATGGGCGTTTAGGGTTTAGGGCTCAGGGATTCCAAAGATAATGTCTCAAAAACTGGAATCACTTTGAAGCCATGAAAGTAAGTGCGGAATTAGATGTCAAGGAAGCATGCATACTCTGACAGACGGACCAAAGAGCCATGCGCCAAAAGCTCAGATGCCGGCATGTAGGGTTTGACCCTCAATAAGCTCAAACACCAGGGCCATGTCGTTTGTGGATGGCCTTGCACCCACCCACGGCCAGCGGCAACTCACTTGATGCTTTCAGGCAAGAAATGCTGGGCAGAATTCTGGGCCCGCTGCACAACATGTGCTCCAAGGAAGAGGACAATATTGGGATGTCGTAGTCGACGCAATGTACGCAGCTCGTTCAGTAGTGGCAAACTCGGCTTCATGCATTGGAGGAAGGTAAGTCTACTACAGTTGCGACCAGGTCGGACACATCTCAAATGCTACTGCCATCATCCCACATCAAAATGTAACGGCACATGCAAACAGTCTTCCCCAACGTCGAGCCGCTGCTCTTTCTTGTCAGACTTCGGCATCTTCACTGCCTCACATACAAGGTCAAGTAGCCAGTGTTGAACCGGCTACTACTATGTGTTATTTCGAGCACGATTGTCTCTATGGCGATTGCAGCCTTTACCGAAGCAAACGCTGATTTTGGCAGCATAGCAGACACTCCGAAAATTAGGGTGCCTCTTTGGGGGAACTATAGTAAGGATCTTGATAAATTGGAGTCTGTACTTACCCCCACCCTGTCCAATTATAAACACCCCCATATGTACTTTCAGGCAGCTGCTCCACTGATTGACCGCGATTCTTGTCACGTAATGCTACAGGATCTTGCCCCCTTCTGAGTGGCCTCCAATGTTGAACTGCAACACCCCTGCAAGCGTGGCTGTCCTGTCTGAACCAACAGTAGCAAATTCTGGAGGACATATTAACCATCTGCGGTAAGGACCGGCTTGGCCTTTGCACATGACAAACTAAAACTTGCTGGAATCTTAATCCGAAATGGTCCGCCCTCTTCCACTTGCCGCCATGTCGCTACCTGGGCACCATAGTAGGTGCCTTGAAGCACGGTGCCAAAGGTACCACTGCCTGTTCGGGCACCAGCCCACTCAAACAAGAGCCCAGCCTGTTGTCGCGAAGGTGCTGATGGCACAAGTTCGGCTATTAAAACAATTTTTGGACATCATAACGCGGAGATCTACAGGACCAACAAGAAGCAGGACAGGTGCCAGGACTCTGCCGTTAACTCCACAATCGCCTCTGCCACTGCAACGGGTATTCCCGTGGTTGCAGAGCGAACCCTAAATCCTACACCCTAAACCTGCCGGCCTAATGTTCGGTCCTCGAGGAGGCCTCAGTTCGAGAGATTGAAAGGAATTTTTACTTTGGGGCTTACAGTATATGCTCAAACAAACACTACAATCCCTACATAACCCTTATATTCCTGGTTTCAGGTTAAGGACTTGGAGAATTTTTTGTTTTTGAAACCTTTACACTACAGCTCAGAACGGCTACTCCCGTGATGAGTACTGCGAGTGTGCCAGAGGGTGCGTAGCAGGATGACCTGTCTTCCTTAGGGGGTTTCAAATGGGGTTGCGACATGAAAGTCCCAGCTTCCTTCTAACAAATCTAGACATGGGACGCATGTGAACCATGCAAGCTGCGATATGCTGCGCTGCAGCGCCCATATGCATGCTGGCTCTTAACAAACGCGAATGACCGGATTTTGTTTATCGCTTACTAGCCAGTAGAAATTATTATCATCTGCATCACCGAAAACAGATCCTGTACTACATTTCGTTGCAGTTTTGGCCTCCATTTGTGAGTCCAGATCCTAATGACTACGGGGTAGCCAGGACTCAAAATGTGCCAGCAGAGCAGAGATCGCACGCGCGTAAGCTCTCAAGCATAAGATGGTTGCGGCTGAAGTCATGATGCAGAAAAACATTTCATGTAAAAAAAACCCTGCCCACTCTCGGGGATTCTTCTTTCACCAAGATCGTGTTAAGGCCTGGCTCCAAAACCCAAACCCCGAAACCCTAGCCCTTTGAAGGATCACTCCAAGACGCATTTTAAACCCAATTGAATCCTTGTTGTAAGTCCACCTTAAGCCCATTTTCAACCACGTTTTAAACCCTGAACCCTAAACCCTAAACCCTAATCCCTACCCTTGCCTCAGAGGCTCAGAGCTGCTGTGGGTCGACAATCCAATGCTCCCGCCGCCCCAGATCCACCAGCTCCCGGAAACTTTTACCTTGACCTTGTTCAGGGTTCACGGTTTAGGCTTTGGGGTTTCAGGTTTAGAGCTTGTAAAAGGCTTGAGGTGCCCCTATGATGGAGAATCATATGGAAAAGAAAACGCAAAATGAAATGGAAACAGACTTTAGGGTAACTATGTCATAACCGGGTAGATATTTGAGTTGTATTGGGCAATATTATGGGTATGGCTTGAGGTGCTCGACTTACGTTCTGGGTTCGGGGGCTTCGGTTTCAGAATTTCCTGTTGGAATCCTGAAGTGACCCCATGATCCCCTAATACTCTCGGTATGAATAAGCTATACATATACATGGACAGAGACATAGAAACAGCCATAATCAGCGCACAGATACGCGCATGCATGCAAGAATGCATACCTGAGCATGAATGACCCTGCCGCAAGCCTGCCTTCAGACCAGGTCTACCCCAAAACACGTCTGGATCCCGGCTTGCGTGGCTTCGTCATTCTTGACTTATAATGAAGGTGCTTGAAAGGTCAGGACCTGTGCCTGAGCCTGCTACAAGCCTGCTGGTGGGTGTCTGAATGCGCTTGCCATTCAGAATGGCAGGTATGGATGTATATGTGTGTATGCATGACTGCATGCAGGCAGGCTAGCAGGCGAAGGTAGATAGGTAGGTGGGTGGCTGGGTGACAGGCAGGCAGGCAAGTAGGTAGGTATGGTACGTATGGTGGGTATGTATGTGGATCTCTGTATCTAGGTATGTCGGTATGTATAGATGTAGGCATGTAGGTGTGTAGGTATGTGGGTATGCAGGTATGTCTGTACATAGGTACGTAGGTAGGTGGGTTTTATGACGCGATGCCAGAGTATCCCTGCAACAGGAAACCTCAAAACTTAGATCGATTTCCCATAGTTGTACTTTTACTGTTATGATGATTCTAACTACTATTAGCAAAATGAGTACTACTAGTATTACTATTACTCATCTTATTTAATAGAGTCAAGTGGCCTTCATATTCCTTTTCCAGTGGAGGCACATCAAAGATGCTGCTGCTCTTGTTCTCCAGGCCTGACTTCAACACTCACTATGTCCTCTGCTGCTGTTAATCGTCATTTATGGTTCTGCGTTCCTCATACAAGCATCCATCGGTTACTGTGGCGGCCTTGAAAGAGAAGAGTCTCTCGGCACATCCTGCTAGGTGGTTCTCATGTTTATCTTGCTTTCCTGCATAACGCTCATTCTTGTTCTATACCCCATTGCCAAAGTCCAGAAGATTCAACTTTACTCAGTTCGCACTGCACGTCAGCTCTCGATGACATGTGTTGTTGACAGATTCAGATCTTCAAGGAACTCTAGTGAAAGATCATGACCCTGCCTGCCATTTTCTTCTGGCTTCTTGCAGCATTGGAGAGTACACTCGCATCATCAGAACCACCAGACTGAATGTCGTCCTGATGTAAGGGCAGCACAGTCTTAGACCGTTCTCGCAGCCTCCACAATCTTGCGAAAGTAGCTCGCAATAGCATCCGAGCATCGCTTTGAATCAGGCTGTCATTGATGGCCGGAATCAAATTATGATCTGATGGGCGTGCTCGTTGACGCGGGCTCTCCTGCATAACCATTCACACAGCAGCAAGCGCGGAAATGGAACTGAAGCCAGACAAAGTCTCAGCGCAACATCTCACTGCCCCAGACAATAGGATGATGTTTTACCGCAGCGCCCCTTCAATCTGTTCTCATGACATGCCCATGTCTCACGAGCCTGGGCATTGGCCGGTCCATCCGGCGGTGGCTGCATGACCACCCGCGGCACCTCACTGATGCAGTTGCCGTAACGATTATGAATGGCATCGGTATTGGAAGGCTTGGCATTCCAAGCAATGGCAGCAGCTGCAGCGGCAGGGAGCAGGTAGTAGTAGCGGTAGTAGTTGCGATAGCGGTAATAATGGTAATAGTGGTACAAGTAGCATTAGTGATATTAGTGGTACTAGTGGTATTCGTGGTGCTAGTGGTACCAGTGGTGGCAGTGGTAGCACTATCGCTAGCAGTGGGGTAATACTAGCTTTTGTTGTTGCTGCAGTTTGCAGTGGCGGTACCAGCAGTGGCAGGCCTAGCCGCTACCCGTGGCAGTTTCAGTAGCAGCATTGGCAGTAGTAGTAGCAGCAGCAGCAGCAGCAGGAGTAGAGTGGGAGTAGGAGTCTCCTAAAATGTCTTGGTTAGCCCACACATTGAGGTCTGGGGGTTTTAGGGTTTGTGGGCTTTTTTTTCGGGTTTTGTGTGTCTTTCAGGGTTTACCGGCGTTTGGGGTTCAGGGGTTTGTAGGGTTGAGGGAAGGTTTTAGGGTTTAGGGCGTTTTAGGGTTTAGGGGCTTTTTAGAGCCTAGAGGTCTTTTGCATTTATGGGGTGTTTAGGGTTCAGGGCTTTTTAGGTTTTGAGGTTTTAGGGGCGTTCTATGGTTCAGGGGTTTGCAGGGTTCGAGGTGTTTTTAAGGTTTAGGAGCGTTTAGGGTTTAGAGGTTTGTAGGGTTTAGTGTGGTTCGAGGGTTCATGAAGGTTTTAGGGTTTAGGGCTTTTTAGGGTTTAGGGTGTAGTAGGGTTTAGGGGCTTTCTAGGGCTTAGGGTTTTTTCGAGTTTAAGGGTTTTAGGGTTTATTGGCTTTTTAGTGCTTAGTGGTTTTTAGGGTTTAGGGGCTTTTTATATGGTTCGGGGGTTTTCAGGGTTCAGGGTGGTTTAGGGTTTGGAGTTTAAGCAGGGGTTTGCAGGGTTAAGGCTTTTTAAGGTTTATGGGGCTCTTAGGTTATAGTTTAGGGGCTTTTGAGGGTTCAGGGCCGTCTGGAGTTTAGGGGTTTGTGGAGTTTAGTGTTTCTTTTACGATCTATTTGTTTTTTTAGGGCGTAGTGGTTTTAGGGCTTCAGGGTTCTTAGGGCTTAGGGGTTCTTAGGGCTTTGGGTTTTTAAGGGTTCAGGGTTTTTAGGGACAAGGTTAGATGGGCCTGGAAGGAATGAAAATGATGGACTCTGCACACAAGATTCCAGGGATTACTTTCTTGAGGTCTAAAACCAGAAATTCCCGGCACCCCAAAAAAGTATGAGAGAGTCGACGATCAGGAATTGATTTTGCAACATGGTTCCGCGGATGTTGTCGGGATAACCAGCTATATGGATGTAGAAAACACTGGCAGGGCACAGGGACTTGAGCTTCGTGAGATAGTCTGTGCCCTGGGGCGCGGCAAACCAAAACTTTTGGCCGTAGGAGTAGGAGTAGGCGGCGTCGTAGTAGTAGTAATAGTAGTAGTAGTAGTAGTAGGAGGAAGAGTAATAGTAAGAAGAAGAAGAAGAACAAGGAGAGCCTTAGCAGTAGCAGCAGCAGCACGTAGAAGAAGTAGCAGAACAAGTATTAGCAGCAGCAACAGTCATCGTCGCAAGAGGAGAGCTGTTGCATTCGGAGCATTCGGTGCTGCACGGCTAGGCCCAGCACGCTGCGTGATCTTGCTGGAGCAGAGTGGACACCAACCTTTTGGCATTTTGGGGGGGGTCTAGAGTCGAGAGTTCCGTGTGTTTCTGAGGGCCCTTTGACCTGTCACATGCTCAGTTCGAGCAAGAAGTTCCAGCTAACTAGAGTTCAGGGTTTAGAGTTCAGGTGTAAAGGTTGACAAGTCAGGGTTTATGTGGCCATCTTCTGTATGAGTATGCACAAAAGCTACCGTGCCTCTAGTGTGGACTTACGCGACCGTATGATCTGGGACAATAAAAACAGCTTCTGCTCTGTATCTCTTGCCCCCAGCATCCGCGGCCTAAGTAGGAACGCAAGTCAGCAAATCTGCGGCTTGGCTGCAACATAGCGGGGGATGTCCGAGTGCTGCGGAAGGCCACATCCCTTCCTGGCGCCACAAGAGGATTTCACAGGACACACACTCACATGTGAAGAGAAAACGGCCCCACTTGTTCAGCATGTGCTGGCAGGGTGCAGGCAGCAATGGCTTCCGCTGCTGCGGCCTTCGGCAGGGAGCATCTACGAACGTATTCGGTCAGATGTAGTCCCGACAACATCTGTACAACACCTTTATAATCCTCTTATGTAGGCCCTTCAGGGGATCAAAGCTGAAGATCCAACCTGCAAGCGTTCGAAGCACCACGAGTTCAGCTTCAAGATCTCCACCTGCCAGCTTCCAGATAGGCATATTACGAGACACGAATGTGATTTCTAGGAGTAACTATACTAATGTGTTCTATAAGAGTAACATAGAGTACCTATAGGGGACCATGGGTGGTTATGCGGCCACTACTTGGGGTCTGGCCGACCCAGCTCCAAACTCTAATGTACTTTGTCCGTGATGGAGTTGTGGCACAGGGGGCCTCCTTCAACACAGACCTTGGCGCGAGCTTGCTCGACTCTGGCCCCAGAAGCTGCATCCACGACCCGGAAGGCCTCAGACGTGACCAAACGCTGAAGCCTGGTGGCTTACTCACATAACGCGAGCACCATATCATCGGCCTGACGAACCTCTCGTGTCCTGATGTCGCTGCCCCGGAGACAGGCCGCCAGCAACTGGTATACCTCAGGGAACATGTCAGGCTTTGGCAGAGCATTGCCTGCAACAAGAGGAAGTCATGAAGGGCTAGCAGATCATGGACTCCACTGCAAGCGGAGCTCCGGATCGTCTGCTCTTCCCCCACGAAGATCCCCCAGGCACTTTGAGATTCGCTTTCGCTGGTCCTGAGTCAGCATCATGCAGGAAATGGGGCAGACCACAAAGCTCTGCTAGCAGATGTTGTTCAATGCACTTGAAGGCAAGCGGCCAAGAATGCCCAGGAGTCGAAGGCCTCACAGGACGGATTCGAATGGAAATGACGGTATCAACGTGTTGCTACGCGGACCCTACGCAAAAAGCTGAAAGGATCCTGAACACTATCACTATCAAGTGCTATGGTATTCGCAGCGCTGCCTGTAAGAATCACCGCTGCAACGACAGTCACCATAGGTTGCATTCTTGCTCGAACTACACCCTCTTATTTATTCATTTATTTATTTACTTGTTTATGTATTTATTTATGTGCGTGCGTGCGTGCAGAATCACTTGTACAAATGCGTGTATATATATATATATATGGACACACCGCCCCCATGATCCACCAACCCCCTGAAAACACTGTGAATACCGATACAAACAAGCATTTTCGCATGATCGGATTTTGGACACTCCCCATTTTCGAATCGATTTTATTGAATTTGATTTGAATTCTATAAGAGGTTCAAATGAATCAGAATCCATTCCAAA